GTGTGCTATATCACAAATGTTATATATTATTGAAATAAGAACAATTATTTCGAAGTTATTGTCGTGGTTCCAATTTAATATTTTTCTTATGCGAGCCCCACACACACAAGTTTCGGATCGGACTCCAGACATAGCTCTATGTGCGGACTTCAATAATATATCTTTACTTGTATTAAGATTATATATTAATGAAATAGGAAGGATGGTTTCAATTTAATATTTTTTCAAGTGAGCCCCCTAAGTTAGCTCCCTAGTCCGGACAGAATTTTTCGCTCCTTATCTGTTCTCCGCGGCCCATTGCCCCGTCCACTGTCCCCGGCAGGCATGTCTCAAATAGCATCGCTACTCCTCTCTCCCTCTCTTTCTTTCCCCCTCATACCCGCAGTTACCCCAAATCCTCGCCGCGTCCCCTCTGTCCTCTTTAAATCCTCTGGCCGACTCGCCGCCGCCGGCGTCCACTTTCCCGCCATCACCTTCGCCGTCTCCGAGCCGAATGCCTCAAACTATCTCGATGAAGAAGAGTCCATCCTTCCCCTCCTCGAAGAACTCTCCGTAAGACCCTCTTCTTCTTCTTATCTTACTCGCTCGCTGTTTAAGTTGTGCCACTCATACACCCGAGTGGGGTGACGGGCCCGTTCTCTCAGGGATGCCTCGGTCTGCCTACAGATTACCTCTCAAATCTCCCTGGAGATCTTCGGCTAGATGTAAGGTTATTCACTTCGAGACGTGTATGTATGTTTGAATTCGCCGATTTGTGGTTTCTGATGGGTTCCTTTACTTCCTTTGCTTTTGGCTTCCTCTTTGAAGCTAAATGATGCCGCTTTTGATCTCGCTAATGGCCCTGTCTTGGATGAGGTTCGTTAGTCTTTGCCTAGTTTTGTTTCTTTCTGTGTTCTAGGGTTATTAGAACTGAATTCTATTGTTTGCTCGGATTTTCCTTATATTAGCTCGTGAGGCTGCATGCAGAAAATGAAGCTCCTCATCGTTACAATTTTGTAGTGTGGCAAAGAAGTTGGGGAACTCTTTTTAAATTTGTCTCGAGCATGGGAGCAAGCCGACACAATGACATCAAACATCCTAGCAAGCGAACTTCCGTCGTTGTATGATCATTTGAGCAGTGATCTCAAACCAGGCAAGGAGCATGGAAACTATTGCCATTGTTTATACCTTCTGCATCTATTGACGTTTTTTTTT